TTAAATATATATTTATATATTTATTTTAATATATTTAATTATTTAATTATAAATTATATTAAATATATATATATATATATAATTAATTATTTATATATTTATATATATATATAATATATTTTTTCTATAAAAAAATTTATTTTATTTTATTTTTATTTTATAATATATATTTATTTAATTTTATATTTTATATATCAAAAATATATAATATTTTCTTTTATAATATATATATATATTATAATTATTTATATTTTTATTCTTTTAAATTATAAATATATTTTTTATAATTTTTTTAATTTTAAATAAACTAATTTTTTTAATAAATAATGTCTATTATATAAATTTTCCTTTCCTTTCTTTTCTTTTTTTTATTTTATTTTTTTATTATAATAAATTTGAATTATTATTGCTAATTTTTTAAAGGTCTACCACTATTTCTTTCAAAATTCTAATATATAATTTAAATTATTGTTTAATATCTATGTTTAACTTTCTTCATTAATATTAAAAGTTGGAGAATTATTATTTTAACCTTCAAAAATAATATTTTTTTATTTATGAGAAAAAGTAATAGCTTCATAATCATCATAAAATTTATTTTATTTTTCATAAATTTTTTTTTCATTGTTTTCATTATCACTAATTATATTTTCTAATTTTAAATTATAATTATTATTATCATTTATTTACATATTTTTTTTAAAATCATTATTATTTTTTAATTAAATTTCTTATGTTATTTATTTTATATTGGATATTAATAATTATTAGTTTTCTTCTTTTTTTTATAATTCACATTTACTACTTGTTTTTTATAATTATTAATCAGAAATAGAACCTTTACTTTAATCGCAATTATTGTCCAAAATATCTTTTTAAGTTTTACTATTTAAAGAATTTATGCTATTATTACTTTAGTAATCAATTTAAATATTATTATTATGATCAAAAAGTTTTGACTTATTATAACAAGAAGATTATTCTGAATAATTTATATATTATTGAGTATATTTCTAATCATCCAAAGGATTGTTTAATTAATTTTCAGTTTCTTTTTTAAATTTCTATTAATTATTTTTTATTTAGTTAATAATATCCTTTGCATCAATATTTTAATCAATTTTTTAATATAAATTATTATTTTTTTCATTTGAAGCTTTTGTTGAATTTATTTATTTTATTAAATTAGCTACGTCTTCTTTAATACTTACATTATCAGTAAATTATACTTCTTTTTAATTTTTAATTTAATTCTATTGATGATCTTTTATTATTTTTTGGACATTTTAATCAATATCAATACATTAAATTTATTATGGACTTGTATTTGAACCTATTGATTATTGTCTCTTAATTTTTATTAATAATTTCTAAGCTTATGGGTTTATTGAAATATTTTGTTAACTTTCATGAGACTAGTTTAAATTTGCTTTATATTCGCTACCACATTTTTAAATTTATTAACTTTAAACTGAATATTCTAAGGATTATTATTATTTTAGAATTTCATCCAATATTTTTTAAGAATTTTCTAATGATTATAATCGGTTATATTAACGGTTAAATAAATTCTTTTATTATTAATTCATATATTTTTGAAAATGGATTTTATTATTTTTTTAATATGGATTTTAATTTATTTTTAATGAATAATTTTACTTATATATATTTTTTTTTTAATATTGTTAAATTTTTCATTTATTAAATTAAAGTTTCTATATTTTTTTAAGATAAAAAGATTATTAATTTGTTTAAAATATTATTTTCATATTTTACTAAATAAAATATTTTTTAAGAATTTATTCTGGTAAATACAAAGAAAAAATAATTTAATTAAAATAACTATGCAGTTTAAAATTTTTTTAATTTATATTAAAAATGTATATTAAAGAAAATAATATAAATTATTAATATAAAAAAATAAAACATTTTTTTTTATAATAAATCTTATATATTCTTTTATATAAAATAATTGAAATTTAAAAATATAAAGTACTTCAATTTAAATATTTTTTTGGACTTCTATAATCATATTTATATAAATATAATTATAATTAAATTTCTTTTAATTTAATAATAATTAAAAATTAATAAAAGAATTTAAAAAAATACATATATTCTTATTCATTAAGTTTATAATAATAAAAAAAAATATTTATTTAATCATTATTCAAAATTAAGGATATTCTTTAGCAACAACTTCTTAAAATTCTTCAAAGTTAATTTTTCCATCTTTATCTTTATCAGCATGTTCAATCATTTCTTTAATTTCATTTGGAGAATATTTTTCTCCTACTTGATTTGAAATTCTCATAAAGTCATCATAAGTAATTAAACCATCTTGGTTTTAATCAAATGCATTAAATAAATCAAATAAGGTTTTTTCTTCATTAACATCGTTTGTAAATCCAAAAAGCTTTAAAAATTCAGAAAAATCTATTAATTAATCTTAATCATTATCAAGATCATTAATTAAATATAAAATTCTTTATGCTTGAATATTCATTCCTAACGACTCTATTGATAATTTAATTTCCTCAGGGGATATAAATCCTGATTTATCATGATCAAAAGCATCAAATATTTATTTTATATTTAATATTTCTTCTTCATTTAATCCTGGTTATACATATTATTTTGGATCAAATGCTTTTTAAATAATTTAATTGTTTTATTATTATTATTATTATTATTATTATTATCCTTTAAAAGGTTATTATTGAACAATATTCTTTTTTTATGGGCTTGAGCTAATTTAAGTTTATTTATACATTTATTGTTAATTTAAATAATTATATATTAAAGTAGTTTTTTTTTATATAAATAAATATAAAAATTAATATAGATGTATTTTTTTTTTAAATAAAATATATTATATTATTATTTAATATTTTTAAATATATTTAAATATTATTATTTTTTTATTATTCATAATTTTTTTTTAGCTTTTCTTTTAAATTTTTATTTGTACTTTTCAACAACAATTATTTAAATTTTAATCATTTTATTAATTATTTTTATTGTAATTCAAATTTTTATTTTAATCAATTCTAAATTCTCTAGAACTTTATTTTTTTAATAAACTATCACCTTATTTTTCCATTCTTTTATTTTTATATATTTAATAATAATAATAAAAAAAAGAAAAATATTTTAAAATTATATTCTTTTACATCTGTTTTGCCATTTAAGTAAATACTTAATCAACATTCTCACCACTTTTCGCAGATACTTCTATATAATTCAAATTATACATTTATGCTTTTTTTAAAAAAATAATATACATATATAAAAAAATTAGTTCATTTTAAATAGTAAATATTTTATATATCAAATTACCTAATTCTTACCCTTCTTAATATTAAACTTATCTATTTTCATTCATATCAGTTTTATTACCAACTAAAATTCTACACACATTTTCTTGAGCATATTTTTCGATTTCTACCATCCACCCTTTTACATTTTCAAACGATTGCTTATCTGTTATATCAAATACTACAGCTATTCCATGTGCACCTCTTTTTTAATTATTTATAAGTATTTTATATATTTAATTTCAATAATTAATTACCTATAATAACTGCATGTGATTGTCTTAAATCTATCTTATCCGGCTGTATCCCACTTTAATATTTTTATTTAAATTAATTATTATTTTTAATTAGTTTTTATTTTACTATTTAAAGTTTTATATTTTTTCCATTAAGTTGAATAGTTTTTATTTTCTATTTTTATATAAAATTAAATTTATTTTATTCAATTATAATTTATTTTAGTAAAATATGTATTATTACAAAATCAACGCCGATTGTATTATAGAAATTATTTGTGAATTGATTTTCCTTTTAAATTAAAATAAAAAATAAATGTTAAACATTTATAACTAAAATACATATATTTTTATAAAATATATATAGAATTGTAATTTTTATTAATTAATTTACAGAAAAACGCATTAACATACATGATTTTCCTACTCCTGAATTTCCAATCAATAGTAATTTAAATAAATAGTCGCTTTTATGAAAAATTGATTTTTATTTATATTATTGCAAATTATATAATTAATTTTATACTATTCACCATAATTTGTTCTTTACATTATATAGTAAATTTTGTGATAATTTTTTTTATTATTTATATTTAATATTAATATTAATATTATAATTATTTAAAAAAAAATTTTAAAATAAATATTATTTTGCTTTTGTATTTTTAGTTAATAAAAAAACTAAATAACAAAAATCGATTTTATATATATATTAAAATAATAAATTTTATAGAAATAAAATATAATAATTTATTATTATTTTTTGAAAAAATAAAATATTTAATATAAATAAAAAAAGAATTCATATTAATATATATATATATATATATAAATTATGTTTTAATTTAATTTTTATTCTATCAATTAAAATGTTTATTATAATTTTAAAACTATCTTTTTTTATTTTATTTATTTATTTTTAAAATAAATATATCTATTCTAAAAGATCATTCATTTAAATCATCATTAGTGTTATTATTTTTGTTAGTTTACATTACATTATTTAACTTTTGTATATCGAAATTTTAAAATTCATCAACAGTTAATTATTTTAACTTATTTTAATAAAAAAAAATAAAAAATTAGAAAAATAAAAAAAAACTTTAATTTAATCAATAAGTTATTTAACATAATTTTTATATTAATCCCCAATAGTTTAATCAGCAATTTTGATTTTATTTTCAATTTTAATGCAAATAATTTCAGCAGTTTATTTTTGAATAGAATAAAAAATTTATAACATACAAGCGATTTTCTTGCATATTTTTTTCCTAAATTATTTTTAATCTTGAATTTTTTAACTATTACCAGATTCATTTGACTGATTTTCCCAATTTAAATTATCTTAATCTACAATCTAAAATATTTAATTTCCAAAGGCATTTTCTAATAAATGATTTTTTATACTTTTAATAATCGACAATAATTTATTTTATAATTAAAAGTTTTTCTCAAAACTTAAAGAAGTATATAAATTAACAAACAAAACTCCTATTTAGCTTTATATATATTCTTAAGTATCAATATTATTGAGTTCCTTATATAAATCACAATTTTTTTCTAGTTCTAATAATTATTCTTTTTTTTATTCTTGTTCCGGGTTTATTAAATTCGCATATATAACTTCTAATTTTTTTTTTATCTAATATAAGTTATTAAAGTTATTATTTTGAATAATATTTTCTGTAACCTCAAGATTATTATTTAAATTATTAATACTTTCATTATTGTTACTATTTAAAACTTATTTATCTATTTTGTTTATTATATTTTTTTCATCTTTTTTATAAAATTCTTTGCCTTTTTTTAAGCTTTTTATAACATTTTAATTTTTTATAGCTGATTATTTCTTATTTAACTTATTTTTAGTCGTTTTATCTTATTTTATAAGTAAATTTTTCGTTTTAACATTTGTTTAAGCTTATTTTTTTATCTTCTTACTTGAGCGAAGTTTTTATACGATTTCTAATTTTTAACAGGTATACTCAGTATTTTTTTATAAAAAAAATATTTAAGATACCTTTATTTGGTTAATTATTTGTATTTTCTGTTTTAACTTTTACTTTCTTTTTTCCTTGACAATCTTCGTCTCCGTTTTCACTCTTATATATATTAATAGAACATCGCTTATTTTTTATTATTTTTAATTACTTATATTAGTTTCATTTCTAAATCTTAGTATTCTTCTATAATATTTTTTAGAATCATATAATTATAATTTTAATAATTTTTACATTTAAATGTAGATAAACCATCAATAATTCTTTTAGCTGATTATATTGCCTGTATAAGCTTTTAATTATTGCGGTTAACATTTTTTGAAAATTAAAAATAATATTCATTAAAATCAAATATTTGGTCTAATTAAATAGTGGCACTTTTGTTTTAAATAATTATTTTATTAATTTTTAATTAAATACTGAGAATGTTCGCCTAAAAAACTAACTTTAGCTTCAATTTCATTAATATTTAATATCTATTTTATTTAAATAATTTTTATTATTATATTTAAGAATTTTTTTTTTAATAAAGTAATTACAAATGAAGGCCATATTGGATATCCTTTTAATTTTGACCAAACAATTTAATTTTTTTTGAATTTTTTATTCATACTAATTTTTTTTTATTAAAAAATTACTTATAATTCTTTTAGATTAGTAATTTTTAAAAACATATATATTTAATTAATAATATATTTATATTTTTTTAATTAAAAATATATTATATATTATTTATATATATGATTTGTAAAATAATATTGATATATATATATATATTTATAAAAATATATATATATATATATATTTAATATAATTTTTTTATTACTTAAAAATTAATTTTTTTTTTTATTATTTATATTAATTATGTTGTCTTTTATATTTAGATTTATCATCACATTTAATTTTAAAGTTTTTTTTAATTTAATAAATATCTAAGTATTATTTTGATATAAATTAATATTTATACAATTAAATAATTTTTTTTTTTATATTTTTTATTATCTATTATAATAATTAAATTTATTTTTTATAGAAATAATAAAATATTTAAATTTCAATATATATATTTTAAATACAAATATTTAATTTAAATTATAAAGCAAATATTTAAATTAAATACATAAAATTATAATCTTATTTTATTTTCTATAATTTTTATGAATTTGTATTTATTTAATTAATATCTTTTTATTATATTTATAGTAAAAAAGTAATTCACTAATCATTTACCCATTAAATTCTTTTTCCGTTTTCCCAAATACCTTCTTTTTTTTCTTTATTTAATATTATAAACCCTAATTATAAATAGCATTTTTAATTTAATTATTATATATTACCTTTCCCATGTTATTTTCCATTTATCCATTCTCCTTCATATCTTTTTTCATCATCCCATTAAAATATACCATATCCGTGTTTTTTATCATTTAAATATTATCCTTTATATATTCTTTTATCTGGCCAAACAGTTTCTCCACTAAAAAAATAAAATTAAATAATTTTAATAATTTGATATAATAAAAAAACTATCCACAAGTTTAATTAGAAACCCAGTTTCCTTTATAAGTTTTACAATCTTTCCAATAATACTCCCCATATCCATGAATTTCATTATCTTTAAATTCACCCTCATACCTACTTCCATCCTCAAAATAAAGTTTCCCTTTCCCATTAATTTTTCCATTTAAATACTCACCCTCATATTTTGTCCCATCAGGCCATTTTTCAATCCCTTAACCATTTTAAAGATCATCTTTCCATTCCCCTTCATATACAGCTCCTTCTTTATGATAATAAATTCCAAAACCATTAGCCATATCATTAATCCATTAACCATCGTATATATCTCCATCAATATTGACTAATTTTCCCTTACCCTAGATTTAATTTTCAAGCCATTATCCTTCATAATAACTGCCATCGGGATATTCTAATTTGCCAAACCCATCTTTCATACCTTTTTTCCATTCACCTGTATATATGGATCCACTTTTCATTGTTATGGGACCTAGCTTTACCCTAAATTCACTATTAATTGCACTTCCAATTAATGAGATATCATTCGGAATATTATCTTCATTATACTATTTTATAGAAAATGCTTTCTTTATTATCTATGATGATTATTAAGTGTTATTTTCAAAAATTTATGCATTGCTATTATTATTGTGATTGGTTTATAGTTTTATAAAACTCTTTATTGAGTTTAAATGTTGGCTTTCTTCTTTATATTCTTAATAAAAGGTTTAGTGTTCGATTATTTAGCTTGTTTATTCGTTTACATTTTCTTATTTATTATATGATATTGTTGATTTCATGGTCGATTTTTTCTTTATCTGGGAATCATTTTAGGTTCTCATTATTGTTTTTAATTCTTCTATTTCTTCTTGTAGTATTTATGCATTATTTTATTAATTATTGGTATTATAACATGAACAATTACCCATTTTTTTTTTTTTTTTTGAAAAATAAAAAAAAAGAAGAAGGTTGTTTTTTAAATTATTTATTCAAACTAAAATTTTGTAAAATAAGTTTATTTTCTATTTTGCATTTTATTAACAAATAATACTTTTTTTTAATAAAAAAAATTATAATTTTAAATAAAATAAATATATATATTGCCATTTTTTTTAATATTAATCATTATAAAATGCAATTTATTAATTGTGAATTTTAATATTTATTAGTTAATACTCTATCTTTACACATTAAATAACTTTCAACAAGTACTCTATATTAACAAGTTTTAGGTTCATCAATAGTTACAATTTGAAAAAATTCTTCTCCACAAATAATTTAAATTTAAGCATTTCTTTAAGTATTACCAGCTTCGCAAAATTATCCGTTACTATATTATCTAATTGTAGAAAAATTATTATTCGGCAAACTTAAATGAAGAATTTAAAAGTCAATATAATTAGATAGTTTTTCTAAAGAAATGAAATATATTTTAACATTATAAGATTTTTAAGGGAAAAATCTAATATATTTCAAATACTTCTCAACTTAAATTTCAAACAATTAATTACTTGGCGAAATATCATTAGTAAACCCGATTCTGAGAATCAGTTAGTTTTAAGAATCATCAAATAGAATCCAAAAAATTTTATCTTAAAGATTCAAAAAATTTCTACTAATTCTTTAAATTTTATCGTCTTTATATTTAATTATTATTTCTTCTAAATAAGAAAACTTAATTTCTACACCTTCTAATAAATTATCTAATGTATTACTTAAATAAATACTAAATTAATAAGATTCATCTGAATTGTTTGCTTTTACTAATTAAAACATTAAATAATACTAACCAAAGTCTCCAAATTATAGACCATCTATATCTTGTATTTATACTTACTAATATATGTCTATATCTTCGACTTTTTAAAAAATTAGCATTTAAGGTAGTTATAATCTTTCATTTTTTTCATTTAACTCAGGTGCCATAATGTTAACTTCTATTTAATTGTATTTTAATATGGCATAAAAGCCTTCAAAATTTTCAATAAAAGTGTCTAATTTTGCTATCTAATCGCCATATATATTTGTTATTTTGGCTATACAATGAGAATTAGAATCCACAAAAAGTACATAATCACCAACTTGAGCATTTTTATTAATATTAACTATATACTAAGATTTTATTATTTCGATTTTTTTAATATAATGAATATATTAAAATAAGGTTTTGTAATAACGAATTTTCTTATTATTGTATAAGATTGTATTTTTAAATACCACTTAAATATTTTATAAAAAAGTTTCTTTATTTTGTAAAATAAAATTATCATATGCATCATAGAATTCAATAAAACCACTATTCCAGATTTTTTTGATTTCTCTAATAATAATTCCATTGTAATAATTAAGCACAAGAATATCGTTTTTATTATATTTTTTAATAAATGTAAACCCTTTAGTATATAAAAAGTTACCAAAAATGCATGGAATATTAGTATTATGAATATTATTTAAAGTATTGAAAGTGTATATATTTATTTTTTATGAATAAATATTCTTATTTAAATTCTCATTTAAAATTCCTATATAACTATTTATCATTCTTTTGATTTATACATAAAATTAATCATCTATTTCTACATTTATAATATTATCAGTTTGTAATATTTTATCATAGTTTATTATATTGATTACCTATCCTTAGATATAAACACTTGTTTTTTCTTGAGTTTTATTATAAAGTTTAAAAGGAGAATTTTAATAATATTTTCCTTTGTAAATTGTATGTTTTTGTTCTTTAGAAGTTTGTACTTTGTAGAAATTATTTTGATATATTTTTGCGTTGTATACAGTTTAGTTAGTATCTTTTGTAAAAAAAGAGTTATATCCTATAAATATTTCTTCAAACTCCTATTTTTAATTATTAAAAACGGTTATAATATCATCAAATTAACGTAAATATTTACCAAAACAATATTCCCATAAAAACTCTTTGGTTCTGTAATATGTACATTAATTTTATAGGGCTTCTAAATAAAAGTTGGAATTATTTTCATCCAAAAATATATATTTTTCTCGATTTTCGTTTTCTTCTATATACCCTGCTCTTGGCTAATATTAATCATCATTTTTATTTAAATTCAAATTAAAATTAATATTGCATACCACTTTTTGACCATTTTCTAATGTTAATACTTTTTTTAAGTGCTCAAATTCTTATAATTCATCTTACAGAATTTAATTTAATTTAATTTTTTCAGCAGTCGCTTTAGTATATGTTATTATATTAAAACATTATACTTAAGAGTTTGTTAATATTAAAAATATATATAATAATATTTTTTTCAACATTTTGGCTATTAAAGGAAAATTAAATATATTTTATTTATTGTTTTTATATTAAGATATAAAATAAATCTTTTTATATTTAAAATTTATTTGATTTTTTTTTTTTAAATAATAAAAATTAAATTTTAAAATATAATTAGTATGTTAAATAATTTTTTATATATGTTTGATTTCAAAGTTAATTCTTTATTTATATTCTTTATTTATATTATTTTTAACATTAATAAATATAATAATAAAAAAGTTTTAGTATAAATTTATTTTGAAATTTTTTATTAGATATTATTTTATATTAAGATATATTTTTACTGTTAAAATTATATATAATATTTAAATGCTTAATATATAAAAATAATTTTTAATATGATAAAAATATACATTAAAAAGTTATAATAAAAATACTAATTTATAAAATATATTAATTGATTAATTAATTAATAATACTATATTTTATTTTAATATTTTAAAAATTAACAAACAATGTTTTTGTATATTTATTCAATTTTAAAATATTTAATGTATTTAATAAAATTGCTTTGCATAAAATATATGCAATATTTTTTTCCTTTTTATCAAAATTTTGTAAAAAAAACAAATATAAAATAATTTAATTAATTTATATATATATAAAAAATTATAAAAGAAAAGAAAAAATGAACAACAACAATCAAGAAGAACAAAAAGCAACAAATGAATCAAATCGTGATTATGAATACTAAGAGAATTATTACATATGTGAAGTTTTTGAAGACTAAAGCATATTAAAAAGCTAAATAATTGAAGCTAAAAATGAAATAGATCACTTAATATGTCCCATATGTATGAATATTTTATGGAAACCCCTTTCATGTTCTGAATGTTTACAATCATTTTGCAAAGCCTGTATTAATTAATGGTTGTAATCAAATTAGCAAAGATTAGATTAGTAACAACAATAATAACAATAAAATAATTTGAGATAAGGCTCGTATTAATAATAGTAAAGAGCCATAATGAATAATAGTAATTCAAATAATAGTACTAATAATATGATGAATGAATATTAGGATGAAGATGATGATGATGATAATTTAATACTTTTTAACCATGAATAATAAATATTTTAAAATATTTAACAATAATAATAATAATAATAATAATAATAATAATAATAATAATAATAATAATAATATAATAATTATATCCATATTAATAAAATTCTGATAATTTTATTGCCGGAATTAATAATTACTAGTAATTTTATGGATAGTTTTCTTCCTCTTCTCCTAACAATATTTAATATTAAATAATAGCATAACCCAAAAGTAAAAACAGGGACTGTTGTCCAAATTGTAAGAAAATATTTAAAGGCACAAATATGCCTTTGATTAATAAATTGTTAGGAGGTTTAAAATTAAAATGTTTTTATAATTAAAACGGTTGTAACGAAGTTTTAAATTACGATTCATACGAAAAGCATGTTATTGTTTGTGGATATTTAGGTTTGAAATGTGAAGGATGCTAAAAGGTTGTATTTAAAAAAAGTATGCAAGAGCATTAAGAAACATGTTTAGAAGTATTAGTAAAATGTGAGAAATGTTAATTAAAAATTGCCAGGAAATTTTTTAATGAGACTCATACTTAAGTATATTGTATGGAATAATAACTGAAATAAAAAGATAAGAAAATGTCTAGTATATAAAATTAATTGAATGAATAAAATTTGTAAATTTAAAAAATGTAGTAATAAATAAAAATTTTAATGGAAGGATAAATATAGACTATTCAATCTTTTGTTTTTTCTACTTATTTTGGAAAATATTTTAAGTTTTTAAATAATAGAGTTTTACTTGAAAACGATTCATATAATGATTAAAAAAAAAAAAAAGATTTTCTCCATTTTTTTATTAATAAGTCGTTTTCTGTACATTCGCCTATTATATATATTTGGAGATTAATAATCGAAAAACTTCAAGGAAATATGCTTATTGGTATTAGCGATTCTTAAACTTAAAATTCAATGGATTTTATTGTAAATAAAGGAGGAGATATTAAAAAAAAAGAAAAGTCAGAAAATAAATATAAATAAAAAGAAAAAAGCAAAGATTTTGTTTTCTAAGAAAATGATGTTATATAAATTAAATATATGCCCTTTATTTATACTGTTGAATTCAATAATCTCACATAAAACGTTATTTGTAATTTCGATTAAAAATATATTTTAGAATTCTCTAGTTCTTTTTATTTTTTCTTTTCTTTAGATCATTAAGGAGATACTTTGTCTTTTGTTGGTATTTGAAATAAATTTATAATTTTTTTTGATTTTTTAAATTATAATAGAAATAATATATAAATATATATATATTAACTATATAATTTTAGGAAGTAAACTATTTTATATATATATATATATATATATATATATATATATATATATATATATATATTTATATATATATATTAATTTCTAAATTCCTTTATTTACAATTTTTTTATCTAAAATGAATATTTGAATTTAAAAACAATGTAAATTAATTTTTTAAATTAAAATTATTTTCTTATTTTTTTTGTTTGATAAAAATAATTGATTTATTTATAGAAATAGTTTATAAAAATAAAATTTCATAATTTATTAAATAAAATAAGAAGATTAAATAAAAAAAACTTATTAATCAATAAATATAAAAAGAAATAAAAAATAATATTTTACTTTTATATAAATATATAAACTATAGAGAATATTATATCATTAAATTTATTAATTAATAAAATTTCTAAAAATATTAAATATAAAATTATGTTCATTTTCATATTTACTTAGTATATTTTTACTTACGAGAATTAAATTAAGTATATTTTTTAAATTTTAATAATTACAATTAATAAATTCTGGAATTTTAGCAATTAAATTTGCAAATAGGTAACAAAAATCCACAAAAAGGACATCCTGTCCTAACGAGAACTATTAAATCAAAAAATTAACTAAATTATTTTATAAAGCCAAGCATTAAGGAAAAATGAAAGCAAAATTCGACAAAAGTAAAATACATTCTCTTTGAATTTCTTAAACATTCATCCCTAAGCATTTTTCGGCTATTAAAAAAACGGTTTACATTTAATTATTTTGATAATTTTATGTTAAAAAAAGTAAATTATTTGAATTTTTTTATGCTAAAATATTATTAAGTAATGTTAAAGTACCAATAATAACTGAAAACTAATTCGATTAAAGATTTATTTACATTATTTTTTCAATATTTTATTAATCAAAGTAAATTTCATGAATATTTTATTCGGAAATTTCAGAAATTCTAACCAAATACCATATAAAATCTTACAAAGTTTACATATTATTATTTTTGAAAGTAGTTAATATAAAATTAATATTTTTCGAAAAAGATTAAATACTGTAATAAAACCTTAAACTTTTACAAAAAATCTCCAAAATAAAAATACTTTCCTTAATAAGACCCGGATCATTAATATAGAGAATATTTTATTAAATCTTTTGAAAAAAATTCTATTATAAAGCCAAATTTTAAAGAAAGTTTTCACTTTCTGCGCTTAGATTTGACAAAATAATCATTATTTTTGTCAAAAGGTTATTTGATTATTTTTAATTTACCATTTATAAGCATTTATTTACAAAAAAAATTAACTATTAAATATTTATTATATATATTTAGATTATTTCTTCAATCATAGTTTCAAAAGAAGAGTAATTTACCAAAATCCAAATACATTCATAAACCACATCCATACAAAATAAATTTTCTTACTCAATAATAAAAAATATTCCTTTAAAAACTTGTAAATAAATATCGTTTTTTTTTCCCATTATTTAGTTTATGTTTTTTCTGAAAATTACTAATTAATTTTTTAATAGTCTTGATTATTTGTATTATAGTTTTTATTTACTGGAATATACTTATTATATATATTGAATTATTTCTTATATTTATAATTAGTTTATTTCTATTTCTGATTCTTGTTTATTATTTTGTTCTAGAGTTTGTTTGAAGTTTCGCTTACGTAATTCATTTAAGTAATTATTTCTTTTCATTTTTGAAAATGTTTACATTTTCTTACTTTTTATACTTAATAATGATTCCCTTTCAATTGATAAGTGGTTGCATTATTAAATTGTTGGAATTTATTAGAAATATTGCATTTTTTCTTTCTTTTTATATTTTTTTTATGACTTTGCTTCTTTTGTTTTCTTTTTTTTTTTATTTGATAGCTTATTTTTTTTAAATAAATTTATTATGTAATAATTTATTTATTTTGCTGCTTTATAGTCTAAAATAGCGCGCGCCAAAATAATTGTTCGATAAAATAGTATTTTTATTAAATAATTAAGTATAAATTAAATTTATTATTTTATAAGTTAAATAATATTAAAAAATATATACAGATTTGTTATATTTAAAATTTAATACTTTGACTCTATATTTATTTATTTTAATTGAAAAATAAAAGTCTTTTATTAATAATATAATTTTTTAATTTATTATTTATAAAAAATAAATAAATATAAATTTATACTAAAATAAAATATTAAATAACAGGCATGTATAAATTTTTTTAAAAAATCATTTTATTTATTTATACTTTCAAGTTTTTTATGTTTACAAATCTTATCTTATTTATTGAATTTAGTTATTATTTTAAAAAATATTATTGAAATATAATTAATTTTCATTTAAATTTTAGTTAAAATTTAAAAATGTTTAATAATTTAAAAAATTCTTGATATTTTAAAGTTTTTAAGAATCTTATAATTAGTTATTTTTATTAAATTATTAAATATCTTGTTAATTACTGATAATACTTTAATTTTAAATAATAATATTTTTCTGATATATTTATTTTTATTAAAAGCTATTAGTAGCAGAATTAATAGGGCTAATCTATAATTAAGATTCATTTTTTTAAAGATCATGCATATTTCTTTCAGTTTAAAAATTTATAATGTTAGAATTAGTATTTGTATTAATATTTTCTAAAGTTTCTATTTTCTTTTTATAATATTAATATCCTTTTTTCGTTTTAGAAGAATTATCTAATTATTATTTACTTTTTTTCAAGCGTAACTATTATATGATATTATCAAACTTTTTCTTCATTTTAATTTTTTAAGAATTTGAAATGTTATTATTTGTACATAAAATATCAATATTATATTTGTTTTTTAAATCTTTTAATATTAATTTAGGTTTGTATTTCAAATCTATATGTTTATCATTTTCGAAGTAATTATCATATATAAATTTTTTATATTTTTGTATTTTTTTACATAATTGTCGTTCTTAAAATAATTCTTTATTTATAGAATGATTGTGTGAATTTTCAATTTTAACTAATTAGCATTTTCCACATTTTAAATCTAAAGATATATTAAATGGACATTTAAGTTTTATACATACAATTTTAATTTTAGTTTTAGATTAAGTTTTTTTCAAAAAACAATTTGTAATTTCTTCAGCTTATTCGACTTTTTATCCTAAATTGCTAATATCAAATTAAGAATTAAATAAAAATTTGATTTCATCAATCATAATGTTAAACAAACTAATTTTTTTAATATTTAGTTTATTTATAATTTTAAAATAAATTATTTTTTTTTTTGTTTCTTTAAAAAATAAAATAATAAATTAAAAATTAATGATGGTTTTTAAATGATATTTGATTATAAAATTTTATTTTATATTATTTTATTTTATATTAATTTATTTTATTTTAAATTTATTATAATAATTTTAGAAATTAATTTATAAATATATTTTAATAATATAATTTAATTTAATTTAATTTAATTTAATTTAATTTAATTTAATTTAATTTAATTTAATTTAATTTAATT